TAACTTGTAATGTTAGTGTCCTTGTATCTTTGTATTTTCTTCTTTCCTTTCTTGAAGTTCTTTGTGACTCTTGGAAGATAAGTGTGTTTGTCTTCCACTTGTAAATTTTCTACTGATGAATTAATGAAAGTGTTATTGATAAAAAAAAAAAGGGAAATCTCCAAAGCCACTTACCTAGTAAGGCTATGTTCCTTAACATTAGGTTCCCGATTCCTAAACCCCCTAATTCCTTAGGTTTGGTAGACTAATCCCACTTGACCAAATGGTCCTTCCTTTCCTCTCTTGGATCCCAAAGGAAGTCTCTTATGCATTTCTCTAATCTCTTTGCTACCCTAGAAGGGATTTTGAAGGTTGAGAGGAAATAGGTGGGGAGGTTTGCCAGTGTGGCTCTAATCAAAATTATTCTTCCGCCCAACGAGATATAATTCTTCTTCCAAAGGGCTAATTTCCTCTCAAACCTTTCTAAGATTGGCTTCCAAAACCCAACTGACCTAGGGATTCCCCCTAAAGGTAGTCCTAGGTAATTAATTGGCCAGCTTCTTATCTCACACCCCAAGATCTCAGCAAATCTTAACAGTTCACCTTCCTCCAAGTTGACCCCTACAATACTACTTATGGTCCAATTTATCCTCAGCCTTGTCGCTCCCACAAAATTATTCAGTAATACCTTTAGATTTGTCACCACTTCCTCATTATTTCCTTCACAGAAAAAGATGGTGTCATTTGCGAATTGGAGATGGGTAACAACCATCTGATTTCTACCTACCCTCCAGCCTTTGATAAGGCCTTGGAATACTACTTTTGCCACCATTCTGCTTAGCATTTCTGCCACTAGGTTAAGCAGGAATGGGGAAAGGGGGTCTCCCTGCCTAATTCCTCTCTTAGCCGGGGAAAAGTCCTTAACTACACCATTGATTAGGGTTGAGTAATGAACTGAACTTAAGCACCCTTTGATCCAAGCTCTCCATCTAGCTCCAAAATCCAAACTTTCTAATGTTTTTAGGAGGACTTCCCAATTTACCAAGTCATAGGCTTTTTCTAGATCTATTTTACATACCAGCCCCTTTTCTCTACCCTTTCTTTTTCAACAACACATTCATTGGCCACCAGGATTTGATCCATAATCTATCTTCCTTCCACAAAAGCACCTTGCAAAGGAGAAATAATCGAGGGTAACACTTTTTTTTTAACCTTTTTGATAAGACCTTAGAAAGAATTTTGTAAGCCTCGATGAGGTTTATTGGTCTAAAATCTTTAGGAGTTTTGGCTTCCTTCTTCTTGGAGTTTTCTTGGATGTCAATTAAATTTAGCTTTTTGTTTATGTTAATAAATCATTTGGTTGATCTATTATAATTATTGGCACATTATGTGTAGATTTTGTTTGTTCTACTTTGTTATTTTCAATCATGATGTCCTTAAATTGATCCCTTATCTTATGTAGGGATTGGCAGCCAATTAAAGATGCACTGGCTTGCTGGGTTGTATCCTTCCAGTCTGTAATACATCCAATGGTAATACTTTTGCTTTTATTTTTTTTAGGGTCACCTATGCTCATTTTATTGATTTTGAATGTTTAATTATGTTCTTTTATGCATTTTAGACAGATCTGTCAAAGGTTGAAGTATGTCTTAGACTTCATTTCAAGAAGATTATTCAGGTAAGATGATAGAAGTTAAATTAGATGGTTGGTTATTTTTCTTTAATTGGTCAATTTTACCATTAAAATGGAAAAATTCTTGAAGGGCTCTGTAAGTGGTGTGGTAAGGCAAAGTGTGGTGGTCTCCTTGAAGGATAAAGAAAGGCTAGGGGTCTCGGGTAATAGAAGTAGGCAAGGATCTTCTATTGACAGAATTGTGTGTTTGTTATGGTCCACGCTCGTTTTTATTAGGGGAGGTCCCAAGGCCTTGGAGGAAAGGAGCCAAAAGGGATTTGACTCCTATTTGGAAAGGGGATCTTTGATCCGATATCGGTTGTTAGGAGGGCCTTGTTGGGGGTTCGCCACGTGTCACACGAGATATTTCTAGGACGAAGTTTCCTTTCGTTCGAGGATTTGCCTAGTGCACGTGTGCTACTTCCTTTCGCGGGTCCCCTCTGTTGACATGGTGTGGGTGACGTTAGAGCTAGTTTGACGTGTTGGCCTACTTGTTTCGTCATCGGCTGGTTGTTTAATCGCGAATAGTTTTGGCTTGTTGTAGATGCACGACGATTCTTAAAGAGAATTGCAGGTCCGTGATGTTCTTGAGCTCATCACAGGTTCGTGACGAGTTATGGGCTCATCGCAGATTCGCGTTGGCCTACGTGTCGCCATGGGTGTTTCTGTGGTTCCAATTTGGTACCTTCATTGCAATCACAATCATGGTGAATATGTACTTACAATTAGCCCCCTACTTATTGCTAAGGGTAGGCTTATCAATAAGCATTTGTGTTGTCAGTGCGTTTTAAAAAGCAATAATGGTGTGAGAAATTTGCTTTGAATTCAGGGGGTTTTTAATAAAATGCGATTGCGAGTTCAGAGATTTTAACATGATGCGATTGGTTTGTATTCGCTTTGAGGTCCGACTTAGTTCTTGCGTTATTAGCCCCCTTGTTTCTTGGGTGGAAGGCTTCTGCTGAAAGTCATAGGTGTCGTTACTTCTGGTTTTGCAGCCCCCCATGACTTTCGAGTTTCAATAGAAGGCTCCCTGGCAAGAAAAAATGGTACATTGTGGTGAGATTTTTCAATTGACGGGGCGACAACCCCCAATATTTTTGGCAATGGGATGTCTATGTCTAGGTTATTCTTAATGCAATACTGGAGGTGTGAGCTATCTCCCATATTTTGTTTACACTGTGTATATATGTAAATATTTTGCCGTGCATGGTGTTGAATTMTACTGTCAGTCTGAGTTCTGATAATTGAACCCTAATTGGCTAGTGAGTGCGTCGGATGGTGTAGTGTGTAGCCATCGTTTAGGCTACGGATATGAACAACTTGCTTTTTTTAACTTTGAATCATAGTGATTTTAACTTGTTTTTTTTTTTTTTTTAATTTTTTATTTGGGACTCTGACGTGATGGCACGCCTCCCAATGGAAAGATGATGGGTAATCTGGGCAGCCGTCACTTCTCTGCGGCGTCGTTTTGGTTGCCAGATAGTCTTCGAATTGTCTTTAAAAGCGGATTGGAAGGGTGGTCTATTCTCATTCATTTTCGTTTTCGTTTGAGTTGTTGTGCTTCCATCGTTGCGATTGCTTTGTGACCCTCTTTCCCTTCTGCTTTCTATGTTTTCTGTTCTGGGATTCTTGTGTTTCTTGTGTTTGGTGGCACCGCATAAGCAATCTAAGGGTTCTCGCAAAGGTGAGAAGTCTCGTAAATGAGACTGAGTTGCTTACCGAATATGAGTCTGCAAGGGAAGCTGACTCGGGAACTACAACAATGTAGTGGACTGGTTAAAAGAGGACAACTCCAAGCTCTGGAACTACAACAATGAAAAGAGGAAATTTAAGTGGCCGAGTAAGGACATGGAAGTTAGATGTACATGGATAAAGAGAAGTGCAAACTCATTGGCAGATGGCTTAGCTAGGCAAGGGGTGAACAAAAACTCTATTTTTTGGACTGTTTTGTAGTTGGTTTCAATTGGGTGTACTTTAATGTACTTTGATGTATTGGGGAGTTAAGTTTTTTAAGCTCCTTATTTCTGTAATTTCTCAATTTTTAATAAAATGCACTGTTATTGATAAGAAAAAAGGGAAGCTGACTCGGGAAGGGGGTTATGGTCTTCGGTATCTGTAGCGATGGGTAAGGACAATACCTTCGACATCATTGAAGGCAAGGAGCTCCTCTGTTTATATGGGCGATAGACATGCAAAGTCGTCTACCGCTCACAAAGCCTAGGGCCATGGGATCTGATGGCTCCACCAATTATACTTCATGGGCATCATTTTGAAGGGATGAGAGATCCATCGTATGGACGCCCGAATCTTGTGGAATAAAGGGGCGAATTTCAAAATTTTTTCTCTCTCCCTTCAATTGGGAATCGCATTCCCTATTTAGAAAATCATATTTTCAAGGATCAATCTTGAACCATAAACTGAACCAGATCTGAACCAAAAAGAGTAGGAGAGGATTATACTTGATACGGAGAAATAATATCTCCCAACGAAGGTGTTCACGCCCAAGGAAGGATCCAAAGACTGCTCCCACTGAAGATGGCGTAGTGTAGGATGGAGCAGAATCAGCAATGTTCTTTTCCAAGAACTCTGTCCTTCGCAAGAAACAACAGGATGGTATGTGAGCACAGCTTCCTTTTCAATCATTTCTCAAAGAACTGATGTCAAGACCGAATCTTGACTTTTCCCACAAAGTTGGAGATCGAACTGGATGTCTGGCGGCTGTAGGAAGGAGGCGGCAAGAAAGATTTCCGCAGGGATTGCAGAAATCTTTCTTCTGTGATTTCAGCTCTGAAGAGGATGTGAGTATGTCTTCTCTAAAGGTTGCCGCCCCCTCCTTCTTTGTGACCCCAAAGGATCAGCTTCTAATCCAATTAGGAGTTGCTGATCCAAATATTTGGATCAAAACATCTCTTTAGGTGATAAGGATAAACCCCTATCTTGTCTGCAGATTGGATCAACCTTCTCCTAGTCTTATTAGGAGGTTTCCAGATCCAAATCACATTTAGATCTGGACTCTCTGAGTGGATAGGGT